GACGTGTCAGATGTGCCGGAGCTCGACTCGGACATCGAACAGGAAGCTCAGACCAGCTACGAACGTCAGGTGACTGGGAAACAAACGCTCCCACCTGCAGTCAACAAGCCGTCTGACTCACCTGTCTCTGTCTGCAGGTGTATAAGGAGGACCTGCCACAACTCAAGAAGAAGCTGATTGGTTCCCTGAAGCGGCAGAAAGCTCCAGAGGAGGGGCTTCGTCTGCAGTTTGTTCACGGGTAAACGATCCACGTCAGACATGGGTCTGGTCTCGTGAGTAAATGACGTAAATAAACCTCAGTTTGTGCTGCTTCCTGTTTGCAGGTACCGGGGCTTCGACTGCCGTAACAACCTGTTCTACAGTCAGGCGGGAGAGGTGGTGTACCACGTGGCCGCCGTCGCCGTCGTCTACAACCGGCTGCAGCACAGCCAGAGGTTTTACCTCGGGCACGACGACGACATCCTCAGCCTCGCCGTCCACCCGCTCAAAGACTACGTGGCCTCGGCGCAGGTATGCCCGGCTGATCGCAGCGCGTCGCGTTTCCGAGACTGAGACGGTTTCTGATTGGCTGTTCCCGTGTACAGGTGGGCAGAGACCCGGCCATACACGTGTGGGACATCCAGACCCTGAAGTGTCTGTCGCTGCTCAAAGGACACCACAGCAGGGGAGTGTGTGCTCTGGAGTTCACAGGTGAGCCGACTGCTCGCCGTGCAGCCCTCACCTGTATCGTAGCTCAGCGGGTTCGCTCAGGTAGACAACGCTGTTCCTTCCTTCTGTTCTCTGACCTAACTCCTCTCTTGGTGCTTCTCAGCTGACGGGAAGAGTTTGATCTCAGTGGGATTCGATGAATTTCACTCCATCATCATCTGGGACTGGAAGAAAGGAGAGAGACTAGCCAAGGCCAGGTAAACACACCTGGTCAGCTCGTGCTTTTGCCAGTTTCTCGCCGTGGTTCCTGTGCAGAGGGACATGTTTGTGTCTTGTGTGTCTGCAGGGGTCACAAAGACAAGATCTTCGTGGTGAAGAGCAATCCTTTCAGGATGGACAAGCTGGTGACCGTGGGCATGAAACACATCAAGTTCTGGCAACATTCAGGTAGGCGTCGTTTACCTGGAACTCACCTGACACGCATCCACACTTCAGCTCAGCGAGGTAGGAGGGGCCACACGGGGCTGTCCCACACGTGCTGGTTTTATTCACGCTCTGACAAAACGTGAACTTTAAAA